CTCAGTGTGGTTTTGATTTGTATTTCCCTGATGAGGAGGGATGCTGAGCATCGTTTCATGTGTCTGTTGGCCATCTGGATGTCCTCTTTGGAGAAGTGTCTGTTCATGTCTTCTGCCCATTTCTTCACTGGGTTGTTTGTTTTTCGGGCGTGGAGTTTGGTGAGTTCCTTATAGATTTTGGATATTAACCCTTTATCTGATATGTCATTTGCAACTATCTTTTCCCATTCCGTTGGTTGCCTATTAATTTTCTGGGTTGTTTCCTTTACGTAGCGTCTTTTTCATGTTCATTCGTGTTGTAACCTGTCTCAGTACCTCATTCCTTTTAGTGTCAAATAATATTCCATGGAGTGATAGCCATGTATTGATCTTGTGAATATACCATATCTTTTTAATTTATCAGTTGATGAACATCGGAGTTGTTTCCTCTTTTTGGCTGTTATGAGTGGAGCTACTCTGAACCTCCGCGTGCCAGGTTTTCCGTGACCTTGGGCATTCAGTCCACTTGCACGGCTGCCGGGTCACTGGTGAGGCTTGAGCGCTTTGAGGAGCTCCCACAGCGTCTGTTTTCCGCAGGGGCTGTGCCATTTTGCACTTCTGCCCACAGTATGTGAAGGCTCCGAGTTTTCTACACTCTCACCAGTATTTGTGATTATCTTTCTTTTTGATTATCACCATCCTGTTGAAGGTGCAGTGTTTTAGTATTTAATGGCATCTCCTAGTGACTAACAAGGTTGATCATCGTTTCATGTGCTTATTGGCCATTTATATATATCTTCACTAGAGAAATATCTATTCAAGCCCTTTGACCGTTTTTAATACCGAGTTGTCTTTTGTCTTGTTGATTTGTAAGACTTTAAAAATATATTCTGGGGTCTCCTGCGCAGCTCAGTCGGTTAAGTGTTCAACTTGAGCTCAGGCATGATCTTGCAGTTTGTGAGTTCAAGCCCTGCTTTGGGCTCGCTGCTGTCAGCTCAGAGCCTGCTTGGAGTCCTCTTTCCCTCTTTCTCTCTGCCCCTTCCCCATGCTCACTCATGTGCTCTCTCTCTCTCTCTCTCTCTCTCAAAAGTAAAAAAATAATAGGGGTGCCTGGGTGGCTCAGTCAGTTAAGTATCCAACTTCGGCTCAGGTCATGATCTCACAGTCCGTGGTTTTGAGCCCTGCGTCAGGCTCTGTGCTGACAGCTCAGAGCCTGGAGCCTGCTTCAGATTCTGTGTCTCCCTCTCTCTCTGCCCCTCCCCAGCTCTCTCTCTGTCCCTGTCTCTCAAAATAAAAGACATTAAAAAAAATTTTTTTAATAAAATAAAAAAATAATAATATTAAATAAAAATATATTTGCTGGCTTAGTTGTAAGAGCATGTGATTCTTGATCTCAAAAAGTCATGAGTTGGAGCTGCATATTGAGTGGAGAGATTACTAAAAATAATAAATCAATTTCAAAAATTAAAAATATATTTTAGGTATTAGAATCCCCATATATGTGATTTTCAAATAGTATCTTCCATTCTATGGGTTATCTTTCTACTTTTTTTTTTTTTAATATTTTTTTATTTATTTCTAGGAGAGAGAGAAACAGCGTGAGCAGGGGAGGGTCAGAGAGAGAGGGAGTCACAGACTGAAACAGGCTCCAGGCTCTGAGCTGGCAGTCAGCACAGAGCCCAACGGGGCTGGAACCCACTAACCGCGAGATCATGACCTAAGCGAAAGTCGGACGCTTAACCGACTAAGCCACCCAGGCGCCCCTATCTTTCTACTTTCTTGATAGTAAAGTACAACAGTTTTTAATCCTAGTGAATTCTAGTTTATGTTTTTCTTTTTTTGGTCGCTTGTGCTTATCATTCCATATCATTGTTACCAAGCTTCCCCAGTTGTTAATCTTTTACCACATTGTGCAACCCTGCATGCGTTCAGGCTCTTCTCTTTGTTTCCATATGTATATGTATATGCTCGTTATCTAGTAATCAGAAGTTGTTTTTTTTGTTTGTTTGTTTGTTTTTGAGAGAGAATGAGAGAGAGGGCCCAATTGAGCAAGGGACAGGGAGAGAGAATCCCAGGAGGGGTGGGGAGAGGGAGAGAGAGAGAGAGAAGTAGGGCTCACCTGAAGTGCAGTTCATGTTCACTTGCTGTGAAACTTGACCTCATCTACAGCGGGGCTCGTGCTCACCCAAAACAGGGTTCGTGCTCACTGAACATGAGACTCAAACTCATGAACAATGAATGAGATCATGACCTGAACCAAAGTAAAATGCTTAACAACTGGGCCACCCAGGCACTCCCAGAAGGCTCTTATTTAACTCTTTGACATCAACCTCAGGCATGATCTTCCATCATCCCTAAATAGTCCAGTGTGTTTCCCATGCATGAGGACATTATATGACCAGTGTACAACACTCCAAAGGAGGAAGTCAACATTCATCCAACACTACTATCAAGTCCAAAGAATCCATTCAAGTTTTTTTAAATGTCTATTTATAAATATTTAAAAATATTAAATAAATATTTACTTTTCTTAATCTTTATTTTTGAGAGAGAAAGAGAGAGACTGACTCTGTAGATCACTTTGAGAGTACTGCCACCTTAAGAACGTTAGGTCTTCTGGTTCATGAACATGGTATGTTCACTTATGTAGATCTTTAATTTCTTTCAACATTTTTGTAGTTTTTTTTCATAGTGAAGTCTCTATATATACCCATACACACAAGACACACACATGAACTCACATATAAACACACATTTAGGGGGCACTTGGGGGTCTCAGTTAAGCATCCGCCTTTGGCTCAGGTCATGATCTTGGCGGTTTGTGGGTTTAAGACCTGCACCGGGCTCTGTGCTGCCTGCTTAGAGCTGAGAGCCTGCTTTGGATTCTGTGTCTCCTTCTCTCTCTGTTCCTCCCCTGCTCACACCCCCCCCCCCCTCTTTCAAAAATAAAGATTTTTTTTTAATTGAAACACACATTTACACATGCAAGCATCCATACAACTCTAGAATAGTGCCTGACTTGTAATTAGTGTTATAATGTAAGTGTTAAAATTACTACAGTTGTTACTAGTTTTTTTATATGCCTTTAACACTTTGGGGGTGGTGGATTAAAATAGAGAAATAGTTATAGAAAAGCATTCAATATTTATGTATTTATTTATGTATTTAACTTTAAATAGTTTTTTAATTTTAAGTAGGCTCCTTACCCAACATGGGGCTTGAACTCATGACCTAAGAGTTGCATCATCTACCATTTAACATATATATTTGGACTGTTTCACCCAAAAAAATGTCCTAAATTCCTTTTTTAAAAAATTACTTTTTTTTTTTTTTTTTAAGTAAGCTCTATTCTCAGCATGGGGCTTGAACTCCTGACCCGGGGATCAAGAGTCCATGCTCTACCAGCTGAGCCCAGCAGGTGCCCATAAGTTACTTTTACTTTATGCTTTAATAGAAGTAAAGTGTAGGAAGCATCAGTTATGATGTCAAGTGTAAACAAGTAGGAACTATATGTATGATCCCATTTTTGTAATATCTGTATCTGTTTCTTAGGTGATACATGTGAAAAAAATTGGAAGGAAATGCACCAAAAGATTAACTGCTTATTTCTAGATAGAAGGATTGTGATGGTTTAGTTTTTCTCATACTCCATTTTGAACGTGTATATGTACATAATACACACAAGGAAAGAATGTTAAAGTTATTTTCATTAGAGTAGAAGCATGTAGAGACAACTGATTTACTCCTGAGGTTTCTTCCATCATATAAAATATGATTGATATTATCTGTCTTATCTTCTCTGTTAGGCAAGTTGTTAGGAGGTTATAGAGAGAAAAATATATCTAAATTTTGTACATTGTAAAGCCCTATGGAAATCTGTGAAAGAAAACACACTGCTCTTCAGAAAACAGGAGAGCTCATCTTCATTTGTAAGTCAAGTATAATTAATAGCCTTTGGATTGTTTCTGAGTCGGTAGCGGTGTTTTAAAGCATTGATGGTCCACACTTTTAAGGTATCATAAGGAGTTAACATTTATCCTTGCAAGTTTTTAAAGGTACTGTACTGTTACTAATTTATTGGGATTTAAAACAGTATCTAATGGCATTATTCAAATAATTTCTCTACCAGGCATGGATGGGCGGAAGCTTTTGCTGGTATCAGAAGTTCACATATCAAGTATATCTGCCCACATGCGTAAGTATTTTAATTTTTACGTTTCTGATTCAGAATCTGGAGAGGAATAATTGTGATAGCTTTGCTTTTCTAGAAAAGCATTTAAATATAATTTATTTTTATCCTTTAAATATTTGGTTTAAAAGTAAAGCTTAGTAAATTCTTTAAAACGAAACTGGTAACTTGACTACATAGAATTTTTTTTCCTATTGCGTTGGGAAATTTAAAATATGCTCTCTTGGAGGTCAGCTGAACTGAGAACCAGAAAAATTCCTTTAGATACACAAACATGTGCATGATACACATGAGGGGATTTGTTTACTTGTCAAGTTTGTGAGTGATCTTTACTATGTTGAAACACTCCTAAATTTTATCAGCTGAAGGAAATGTGATATATATACTGTGGAAAATAACCACAGGTTTTGAAGTCTGATACATTTGGGTTTAAATTCTGAAAATGTTTGTGGATGTCGAAAAGAAACTATAAAGTTTTGAGAAGACTCAGAAAGTTGCTGAGATTGTGAAGGTCAAACCATTGCCGAGAGACTGTGAAGACAAATGGGATTAGAATTCACACTAGCAGGTTAGCAATTCATCCTCAGAAGTGGGAGCAGCATAGAGTTGTCGAATATGAAAGAGGGAATGGAAAGAGGAAAAATACCTGATTAGGTAAGAAAACATTCTGTCCCCTTTCTATCCTTAAATAGATGGTTTGTCTTAACCTCTGTAGGCTACAACTGAATACTATGGCCAGGGTTACTGCGTCCCCTATTCTGACTCACGGAGGAGGCAATTCTTGATTAGTTAGAATGTTCTCCTGTATTGTCATTGGCCCCACGATTGAATTTGATGTAAGGCCATTTCCCAACCTAGGGAACTTCATTTCTCAGAGAAATTTTGATAAGATTCTGTAACCTCTAAGGTAGACTCCTTTTACGAATTAGGAGGATAGAGGGGAGATGTAGTTACAGTGTATTTATTTTTCTTTCCTGTTCTATCCAGCTACGTTCAGGGTGTCCATACCTGACAGATTGTTCATCAAAGACTTGAACTGAGTATAGTGGGCACTTCAGTCACACTTCTATTTCCCATATTTATTTAGAGGTCTCTTAACCAAATACACCGCTGACACTTAAGCAAAAATGTAATCTGAGCATATGGGAATTGCTGCTACCATATCTGTGTGGTAAATTGCTAGTATCCTTAGGCCTAGCCAGGTCTCATATTTTATACATTTCCAACTGTCTTGCTTATACATTTTTGAAAGAAACTGTCTGGCTTGAAAGTATTAAATAAGGGTGTTAAGAAAGGAAAATGTTTTTCTTTGCCAAGCTGGGTCCTTCCCACCTGCTGTTCTGTCTTCAGAACACATTTGGAGGCTGTGTAGAAAAAGCGACACCATATGGATCCAGTATACAGCTCGTATGTTGAAATTGTGCAGTTCTGTGTAAGCCTGAAGGAATTCGCTCTCCTTCAGTGACGGAATTTACCCGGTTTTCTGCCTTGTTATAGTACTCTCACTTTGTTGTTTTCTTTCTTTTCCGTGTAGACCAGTTATGCCTGTAACATTGAATATGAACATGGCTATGCCTTCCTGGTAAGTAAGAATTATTCAGTAAGAACTTTTTATTTATTCTTAGTGGTTTTTTTTTTTAATTGGAAGTGCTTTTGCATATAGCAGTTTTTAGTTAGCAATTGTTAAGTTGCAAAGTTACATAATTAACTTTACGTTTAACCTTTAATTATTTAAGTTTTGTATTTTAGACTCAGGAGCTGTGCCAAGAGGTAGAGGGAGAGAATAGGTAGCAAGAAGTACCATCTCCTACTGCTGAATGAACCTTTGTTGGTTTTAGTGACCCAACACTTGAATGACCCCGTGTGGCATACCCTCTGATTAAGCCACAGCCTTTCACCCTTCCAACTTCTTGCTTTTCTGGAGAGTTGACATGTTTTTAAGGAAACCACTTCCATTTCCATTTTCAAGATAGTTTCACATTCCCTGTATGTTTTACAGTCAAGAAGTAGAGCCAGTTCTTTGTTCCTCTGGGCCACTTCCAGTCCATTGTGCCCTCGTCCTCTCCACTTGTTCCCACCCATTTCTTACCCCCCGCTTCACTTCCTTTTTATCTACCCTGGGTTTCTTGGCAATTTTCACAGGTTCCTGTCTACTTTGCCTTCTGGTTCTTTCATCTTCCTTCTCTGGCAAAACTCCCATCCCGAACCAAAGTTTCCAGCTAATGTCTCTAGAGGCCATAATGAAGGATGTGACCCTTTCCCTTCCATAGGGAAGTGGAAAGGGCCTGATAGAAAAGAGGAAAGCTTCCTTTGGGGCTCTGGCTTGAGGTTTCTACATGATGAAAAAGTTTTGCAGAATATGGCCAGAGGTCAGTATAATACTTCTACCTGATAGCTACGAGATCGTGCGTGCAAGAGGGGCGCGTAAAGGAGCTCTGTTCCACTGGATTGACCCGGGGTGCAGCCAAAGGGGAAGGAGCTGGCTGGAATTAATTCACTGCACACTTTTTGGGGGAGTGTGCGTCGAGATCCTTGCCGCTGGAGTGTAGGATTGGATTAGGTATTCTCCTAGATGTTCTTACTCTAAAATTATGTGGCACTGTGATTTTTTTTAACATTAGAATCTGTATCCAGTTGGTGAAAGGAACGTGTAGAATGTCAGATTCACACATTTAAGTTATGTTTTGGCCTCTGTAGACGTTTTAATTTTGGCCTTTTAATGGTTTGCCCTTTTAATCCAGACTACCGTGAGTTTAGTGAAATGCACTTACCGTGAGCACATATTTTTAGAGTCAAATAGCTCTTTTAAGATTTTGCCTTATTTTCCAGGTTTGATATTACTGGGCTGTCACTAGAAATACAGGAGGATGAACCTGGAATTAAACAGGCAGCAGAAAATGGTAAATACAGAAAAATTTTCTAAAGACAAAAGAATTCTTATTTTAGTAGATTCAGTAGTTTCATGGATATTGGTGAAACACAGCGTACAGTTTTCTGAACTTAGTAGGGACGCTGTTTCCTTTGTTTCTGATCGCCCTCTAACTTGTTTGACACAATGGCCACATGGACCCTTAAGTATAGGCGGTGACCGTGAGGTGAGTAGGGAAGAATGGCCCTTATCAAGCCCCATATCTGTTGGATACATAATTTTGCTTTTATTTACATAGGCTGATGGAGAAAATAGCAATTTAATGGTTGTGGCCGGTGATCTTCATTAAGGAGACTTGGAATAAGGCTGGGTCTAATGATATAATCGTGGATAATGCAGATTGTATCTGTGGTTAGTTTAGTGCAGTAGTGCTAACAGATGCCCGTCATGGAACACTTAGCTCTTTATAATGTTTATTTTTTTTAATGTTTTATTTATTTCTAGGAGAGAGAGAGAGACAGTGCGAGCAGGGGAGGGTCAGAGAGAGAGGGAGTCACAGACTGAAACAGGCTCCAGGCTCAGAGCAGGCAGACAGCACAGAGCCAGAAGCAGGGCTCGAACCCAAGAACCGAGAGATCAAGACCTAAGAGAAAGTCGGACGCTTAACCGACTAAGCCACCCAGGCGCCCCTACACTTAGCTCTTTAAAGGCAGGTCACTGTTGCACATCTTAGCACTTGGTGTGACCTTGAGGAATAAAGCATTGGGAAGTTCAGGGGACGTGGTCCCAGCACCGCTTCCCCTTGGCGAGCCACTAACGTTCACCAGGCCCCCAGCTGCACCCGGCTGTGCCTCCGCTGTCACTGCAGCTGGGCCTCCGTTGTCACCGCCGCGGCCTCCCCTCCGCCGAAATCCATCCCTCCACTTTCTCAGCACTTCTTTTACTTCTTAACCCCCCTTTACTCTTTTCTAGCCCATTCTTCCATGCCACAGTCACGGTGTTGCTTGCTTTTCATACTCATTCTAAGAACTCAACCTTATATAGAAAAGAAAATAATTTTTCATTTGGGCATTTGGCTTTAGCAGTGTTTTAGAAAAAGCAGATTTTTATTTTTTGATAAGAAGGAAATATGAAATTGGAAATTCTCATCTTAAGAAATGAAACTCTGGGAGCGGCTGGGTGGCCCAGGAAGCTGAACGTCTGACTCCTGATCTTGGCTCAGGTCATGATCTCGTGTTTTGTGGTTTCACGCCCCATATTGGGCTCTGTGCTGACAGTGCGGAGCCTCTGTAGGATTTTCTCTTTCCCTGTCTCTCTTTCCCCTGCTCACACTCTCTCCCAAAATAAATAAATAAACTTTAAAAAAATGTCACATTGTTGTAAAAACATTAAACTCTTGCATATATGTAAAAAATGAAAGATGGGCACCTGGGTGGCTCAGTGGGTTAAGCGTCCGACTCTGCTTAGGTCATGATCTCATGGTTTGTGAGTTCAAGCCCAGCATCAGGCTTTTTGGATTTTGTGTCTCCCTCTCTCTCTCTCTCTACCCCTCTCCTGCTTGCACTCTCTCTCTCTCAAAAATAAACATTAAAAAAAGAAAACCATAGCACTGATGATAAAAAGAAATTCTAAGAGTCATCAAGTTTTATAGTTAGTGATTTGTGTCAAAGTGTTTTGCAAAACAAAAGAACTCTGATTTTTTTTTCCTATATCATTTACTGGATATAGATAAAATTACAGTTTTTAAAATAATAGAATGAACTTTTTTTTTTAATGATTATTCTGAGAGAGAGAATGAGCAGGGGCAGGGCAGAGGGGGAGAATCACAAGCAGGCTCCGCTGAGATCACGGAGCCCACCACGGGGCTCAAACCCGCGAAACATGAGATCATGACCTGAGCCGCAATCAAGAGTTGGATGCTTAACTGACTTAGCCACTCAGGCGCCCGCAATAGAATGAACTTTGTATTTATTTTAGTTTATATTTGTAATGTTTATATTTGAGAGAGAGTATGAGCAGGGGAGGGGCACAGAGAGAAGGGGACAGAGAATCTGAAGTGGGCTCCATGCTGACAGCAGACAGCTGATGCGGGGCTCGAACTCATGAACCACGAGATTGTGACCTGAGCTGAAGTCAGATGCTTAATTGACTGAGCCACCCAGGCGCCCTTAGGAGGAACTTTATAAACAGTGTAAATCACAAACATGTAATCTACTTTACTTAGGATTTTAAAATGGCAACTTTTAGGGACAAATTCCTACGATTCATTGGAGAGAGAGAAATATAAAATGTATATGGGCACAATTGACCGTAGATAAAAGAATATCCATTGATTGGTAAAAGAAATAACTTTTATTTACAAATGACATAAATAATTGGACAAGGGTACCCTGCAGGCTCCATTGGAAGAGCAAGAACATGCGACTCTTGATCTCGGGGTTGAGTTTGAGCCCCATGTGAGTGTAGAGATTACTGAAGAGTAAAATCTTCAGAAAAGAAGTTTACTTAACTTTTTAAGCAACATCTGCCAAATATGAGTTTTATAACGAAAATACATTCTCCTTTTGTATTTTAATAGAGCACTTCAGGTTTTTCACTTGTTATTCACCTGTAACATACCTTGTGCTTTTAAGTATTGGTGATTTACTTTTATGTTGTTTTTTAGTCAAAGCTTTGATAGAGCAAGAGGTGAAGAATGGCATTCCTTCTAACAGAATTATTTTGGGAGGATTTTCTCAGGTAAGGTAAAGTCTGGGTGATATGTCCTTGGTGTATTTATCTAGAAATAAATTCTAGTTTATTTCTATCCTTTTCTGTGGAGGTTTCTTTTTTTTTTTTTTTTTAGATCTTATAGAATCTGATCTATTATCATTAATGCTGAATTAAGTTCGAATGGACTAGATAGAGTTAATTATAAGAGTGTACTCTTGCTTTTCTCATTTTCTCTCTTTAGTGATTGCCTTTACCTTGCACATTATGTCTTGAAAATCAATTCACTTGGTAAATTGATAGGAACTTGGAATGCATTTTCTTAAAATAATTAGTACACATGTAGTTAGGTTTCTAAGTTGGTGCTGTGCACCCCTTTAAACAAAACTCTGATTTAAACACAGGTCTAGCCCCCGTCTCCTAGGAGGAGACCACCGGTAGCAACAGGAAGGTACAAGTCCAGAGAATTTCTTCTCTCTCTTCGTCATGGGTTCCGGCGGTGGAGCCCCACAGCTCCCCTGTAATCCCCTTGAGACAGGCCCCACGTTGGGGCCCCCGCGGAGTGACCCACAGTGCCAGGGCTGCTGGTGTCCCCCCTGCGCTCTTCCCACCGGGGGGCCTGGAGGCTCTGGGGAAGCTCTTGGGTGGCGCTGCACTGGTCAGCCGGTAGCCACTTCCCTCACCTTCCGGCAGGGGCTGTCCTGGTGTTCGTGGTACCGGGGGGCCTGGGCCTCAGCCCGGTGGGCCGGGGTCCTCTTGGTGTCCTGTCCATGGTTAGATGTTTGTGCTTGTAAGAGGGAGCAAAGTCAGCCTTGATCTGGGTCCTGTCTTGTGATGTCACTCTACCATCTTTCCTCTTTCCATCTTGTAAAATAGATTTTAGATTTAAATACGTGATATGTATTTTTGGCATCTTCTTCTTTCTGTACTTTTTCTCCTTCCTTCTGGACTCTTCCTCCTGGCATAGTTACCTCATATTGACCTTACGTCCTTATTTCAGCTTGTCACATGTCCACCTTGTCTCCCGTCCCCACAGTGCTCTAGCTTCTAATCTGTAAATCTTCTAAATCAGCAACTTAGCGTTCAGACTACCCGAATCAGGGCGATGTTGGAATTAAGGAATTATGTAGAAGTTAGAATTCCGGAGACAGGTCGTTGATACAATATAGTAAAAAGATGTTACTGATTTGGTATTTACTGAAGTTCAAGATAAGGTCTATTGTAGTTCACGTCGTGCCATAAATGTAGGTATATAAATGAATGCTTCATGCGAGTGGGCAGCTGACATAGGAGGCTGTGTAGATGGGACTCGTTGATTGCAGCTTACAGGAAGCAGCCCCTAGTGCGTGCAGAAGAAAGAGCACGCTGTGAGCCTGTGGGATCACCTCAAGGAAACCGAGGAAGAGAGTGAAGCAAGGCCTCAGGAAACCTCTGAGACTTGGAAAGCCGTCAGGACTTTATCTCCAGCCTCCCTGTCTCCCTGGCCATCTGTGTCATTTGCCTCTTCGTCTAGATTTGGCTTTTTCTGCCGTCACAGCCTGTGACTTTGCCAGTTCTTGAGTGTGCATGTCACCATTCCAGCACACAGAGACACCAACTCACAGTCCCTGAATCCCAATTTCAGAATCTTGAGAAAAAGAATATGACTGTCTCGGATGAGTCGGAGTCTCATTTCTCATGGCCCCGGTGACCCACGGGCATGGTCGGCGTGACTGAGGGGACCCAGGCCCCAGAGTACAGGGTGCTGTAAGCTGGGTAGGCAGACACTCCTAACGTGTCTGTTGCAGGGCCCTTACCGTCTTGCATTTTTGTTTTAGGAAACAATACCAGCTTACACTGGATTTGATTTTATACCTAAAACTTTTCAGAGAAAATAAGTAGCTCTAAGTGTAGAATATTGCTGAGGCATTTGTAAGTGCAGCATGTAAATACACTGAGCGTCTTCCCTGACTGCGCGGGTGGCCACTGTGTACTCACGGTGATCTCGCTGTAGAGAGGACATGGGGGTGGGGGGGAATGTATGGATGTACCACTGCTGGCTTGCCTGATCTCCTTTGCCATCAGCCACCCACGCTCATCTTTTTCTTTAATGGCCATTATTAATCACAAGAAGTCAAGTTGCTGTTGGCAGAGGATGTGTTCCACTGACTTTCTCTGCTTGTCTTTCCAGGGAGGAGCGTTATCTCTGTACACCGCTCTTACCACGCAGCAGAAGCTGGCGGGAGTCACGGCCCTCAGTTGCTGGCTCCCTCTACGGACTTCGTTTCCACAGGTAGCCCGACTGAAACGTGCGAGATTAGATTCCTGAGCTAAGATGGATCATGTTGCCGGGAGGGTCATTTGTTTTTAATGGATAAACTGTGTATTTTTAGAGCGGCTTTAGGTTCAGAGCGAAACTGAGAGGAAAGCACACCAAGTTCCCGGATGCCCCCTGTCCCCACATGTGCATGGCCTGGGAGCACCCCACGGCCCGGTGTGCATTGTTCATGGTCCGTGAGCCTGCAGTGACCTGCAGTATTGTTCCCTAAAGCCCGTGGCTGACACCAGTCATCCTTGTTTAGAAAGGATTTCCCTGGACTCCAGTGATGGACTTCTCTGTGTGCTCTGCTTCCTTTCCCGTGGGTTGCATAGAGTGGAGTAAAAAAGAAGTCCTTTTGTCATAAATCTTATATTTGATGTCTTTGATACATTTTTAAGATATTTATAAAAGGGCAGTTTTTTACACAGAGAAATAATATTTTTAAATGGTCACTATTCTTATTGCTTGCTAGCAGAAGTTTACCACAGAATAGAATTTCTAAGTACTCGATAGCGTAAAGCAATATATAACACACATGGGAGATGTGGACGTTTATTTTCAAATTCATCTTTAAATCTAGAATTTGTTTTCTTTATCCTCATATAATAGTATCTGTTTGGTGTCTGACGCATAGTAAGTGCTGCTTATTAACCGTTTTATTTAAATCCATTAAATAAGACCTGAGGGGAACGTGATGGAGCTAAAGGGTGCCTCTCCTGACAAGGCACCGTGAACGTAATACAGAATAGTAAAGATACAGTCTGCTTCAAGGAACCAACTCACTGGCAAATAATAATACAAGACGGGGTGATCCCATGTCCCGTATAAGTTTATAGAGCTGTGGGGAGCATAGAGATGGAAGGGGTTTTATTTCCATGGCCGAATAGAACCTGTGATGTTAAGTAATAACGTACGTACGAGCGTATCTGTCTGCTGTTGTAAGTGCCTGGCCTAATGCTCTGTACATTTGAATAAAAATACTAGTTTTTTGGTTTTGTTTTTTGTTTTTTTTGCAGGGTCCTATCAGTGGCGTTAACAGAGACATTCCTATTCTTCAGTGCCATGGAGACTGCGACCCTTTAGTTCCCCTAATGATTGCTTCTCTTACTTCTGAAAAGCTAAAAACATTAGTAAATCCAGCGAATATAATCTTCAAAACCTATGAAGGCATGATGCACAGTTCGTGTCAGCAGGTAATTGTTTGGAAGCAGAGACATGTTTGCAACTTTTTCCATGTGATACTTTTAAGATAAGCAACATTTTGATTGCTTGGGCATTTAAGGGAGTTGATTAATGAATTCACATTGAATCATAGGTTAGGACTTAGATCGGAGTCTCCTCAATTTGATTCAACAGATACTCACTGTTTTCCTATTACAGCAAGTTTTGTGCATAATTCAAAGACAGATAAAAACCAGAACGTTTTATTAACTATTTAAGCTAGGGAAGTTCTCTAAAAAACAGAAAAGCGAGATGCATTTTGTTTGGCCAGTACTGAGACCATGAAGGAAAGGTTGGATTTGAAAGAATGGGTAGGATTTGGATAGCAGGTGTACAAAGAAACGACTGTAGGGTCCGGAAAGCATGGTGAGCAATTGGGCCCTCACCTTAGGAAAAGCTGGGTGTCCTCATAAAGTAGGTATAAGGAGCAGTGTTAGGAGGAGATTGTGGAATTCAGTGAACACACTGAGATTGATGTATCCCCAGCATAGCAAAATGGGATATGGGAAATACTCGTCCAAAGCTCAGGCCTGTAATAGAGATTTAGAATAATTGCCAATATTATTGATCACTGAAGAATTACCATGGGAGAATATCAGAAAAAAAGCAGGAGAGAGTTTCAGAGTGGCTGGGTGCCTGGCTGGCTCAGTCGGAAGAGCATGTGACTCTTGACCTTGGGGTTGTGAGTTTGAGCCCCACGCTAGGGGTAGAGATTACATCCATCCATACACAAACTTTTTTCAGAAACTGGTTAGTTTAAGGAAAAAAAGAATTTCAGAGTGGGAGGGCAGTGTCCCGTGATTCAGAGCACAATTAAGGAAAAACAGACCAGGAAGAAAGGATCCCATAGTAGGTCACCTTTGACCTTGGATGCTTGGAAATGGAGCCTGCAGAGGATTGTGTGATAGAAGCCTTTACAGAAAGGTAGGGAATAAAGCCTTTATAAAAAGGTTTTTGGAAAGGGGGAAAGGAGTAGGAAGGCTCTTTGGTGAATGGGAGAAAAAGACTTCCTTGGGTGGGAAGGACGGAGGGAGAAAATGTGATGAAGAGAAGATAGTAATCTAATGGGAGAATCTTAGGGAGAGCAAATAATGTAATTTAAAGTCCTAAAGCGGGCAGTGCTTGCCTTCAAAGAGGAGAGCATCGCTTAATCTGGAAGAGGATGGATGAATCTAAACAAGGATTGTTGAGGGTAGGTAGTAGTAGTTGCGAGCTTTGTTTTTCAGTAGTAGGACATACGGTCACTTGCTAAGAATGAAGGAGGCCTGCATTGGTTTGGAGGCTTGAAGTAGTCAAAACGTGGCTTCACTTATCCTGGGCCCACTGAGGATTTAGTTGGCGGTGGTATGGTAGTGGGGCTTCGATTCCTGGTTTTCTAACAGCTTATTAAATCACTTCATTCCACACAGGAGATGCTGGACATCAGGCAATTCATTGATAAACTTCTACCTCCGGTTGATTGACGTCACTAAGAGGCCTTGTGTGGAAGTACCACCAGCATCACTGAAGTGTATAAACCTCTTCCTGTGCTCAATCCTGAAACTTCGAACGTTTGCAGTGTTTTTCAGATACACACCCATAACACAGACTACATAATAATAATATCTCCTTCTGGGAAATAATGTTCTTTTAAGTTTCTATACATGTGTTTATATGATTCAGAATATACTAGTAGTAAAATAGGTGAAGCAGCTAACTTTTTCCCAAATGTAATTCAGCAAAATAATAAAATATTGTAACCAGATTTTTTATTACATCATTTGAAAATTATTAGTATGCTTAATGAAAATTTGTTCAGGTATAAATGAGCAGTTAGGATATAAATTATTTATGCATCCTGTGACTTCATCTACAGACTTACTTCAAAATTACTTAGTCACCGTGTACTATCTGTATTTTTATACATGTATTCATTATATACTTAAGGACTGTAATACATAATGAGAATGAGGTATTACTGCATTATTCCCAATAATAGGGATAATGCTTCTAAATTCTAGAGTAATATTGTTCTCTTCAGTTAATGGCCCTTTAATTTTGGGGACCAGGCTTTACTTTCCCTGATACCATTTCTATTTAATGTTTTTTTTTTCCTCTCTAGAACTATGTTTCTTTTTTATCCTTCATAACAGACCAAATATTGGCTCCTTGCCATAGACATCTCCTGCCTATGTGTGCTGTAATTTGACATTCTGGATCACAGATTTGATAGTATTTAAAATGTATTTACACTTCTGTAAAGAAACCTGACATCACTTTAAACTTCTTACCACTGCTTCCTACACTATACCTTAGTGAGTCCAAACTTAGACCTATATGATTATTAGAATCTTCAGTCTAGATAACTGGCATAATTCTGTGGTTGTATTTTTCTGTAATTAACTGAAAGAGTAATTACATCGTATTCTAGTATGTTCTGGAATATTTAAGACAGATCTTAAAAACTGTAATTTCTAAGATGATTTGCTCTAAGATGATCCTACTCATAGCATAGTTTAGTTTACTTGTTTTGTACATATGTTTGAAACCAACTACTGTAGGAAATGAACAATCCATTAGAAAAATTCGCTTTATTTTTATCTGCCAATGGACTTATTTGAAAACTTCACTTTAGTCAGATGGATTTTTTTATTAGTTTGATTTTACACAGTTGAATTTTTCAGATTATTGTTAAAAATTATCTGAAAACAAATGTATGGATAATAACAATCACAACTCAATACATACGGTGTAGTCACCAAGTTTAATATGTAGCAAAATGTACACTTGATATTTCTGAACTGTTGTTAATTTTTCTGCTGTATTCCAACTGACTAAAACAATGTTAGGAATGCATCTTTATAAATGGGTGCTAATTGATAATGGAAATAATTTAGTAATGGATTGTACAGAATGTTAATAATGAAGCCATATGTTTCTGTCTGGATTTAAAATTTTTAAACAATCACTTACTAAGTCATTTTACTTTACCTTGAAGAATATAAATTGTTGTTTCAGTTATATAAATCAACAAGATCTAATTTATGGCAAGAAATATTCTGTTGAAATGTGCTGTTATGTGGGAAAATGTAAATCTTTTTCATGGTTTCTACCAATGTGAAATAAAATTTAATTCTGCCTTTTCTGTGACTCCTTCAAATACTGTTTCTAATATTTGGATTTACGTTTAAATGGCTGTCATACTGAAGAGGGGGAGAAGGGCAGTGTAGTCATTAGAATATCCATTCAGAAGAGAATTTTTAAAACTGGTAGGGTTAGCCTAGAATGGAATTAGGCATGAGGAAAGCTTCTCTTGTTACTCAATGTTTTTTAAGTTTTTTGTTGCTGTTTTTGGAGAGAGACAGAGAGAGCACGTGCACACAATTGAGAGAGGGGCAGAGAGTAAAGGAGAGAAAATCCCAGGCAGGTTCCACCCTCAATCTCACAAACTGAGATCATGAGCTGAGCCGAAATCAAGAGTCATCGATCAAGCCACCCAGGTGCGCCTCAATTGTAATCACCTAAAAAAAAACTTCTTAAGTTTGTTTTTCAGTGTTCCTATCCTATTTAAGAAGTTCGGTTTGGGGTTTCCAAGTCTCTTCCATATATGTAGTATGCATGGTGTTTTTTTTTTTTTTTTTCTTTCTTTTTTTAATATTTTCATTTATCTCTAGGAGAGAGAGAAACAGCGTGAGCAGCGGAGGGTCAGAGAGAGAGGGAGTCACAGACCGAAGCAGGCTCCAGGCTCCGAGCTGGCAGTCAGCACAGAGCCCGACGCGGGGCACGAACCCACGAACCGCGAGATCACGACCTAAGCGAAAGTCGGACGCCCAACCGACTAAGCCACCCAGGCGCCCCTGCATGGTGTTTTTAAATTAGTGTCATGAGACGCTTATCCAAATAGTTTTTTCTCTCCCTTTATGTCACCGTTGACTTCCAGCATTTCCCAGTAAAGGAGTCCTATGTGTCGTGGCTCTCAAGTCACCCATCACTTTCTGCTTTTGAATACTTCAAATGACCAGCTCACCTTTTTGTGAAGCAGCTCATTCTATGTTTGGACAACCCTAATGGTTAAGGGAGTTCTGGACTAAAACTTGTGGGCAACTCCAACTCTCTCAGACTTCACAGCACCGCTTTATTTCATGTGACAATCTATTTCATTATCCTTTTTAAACTATTACACTCACAGATGTGGTCAGAGTGGGGTATCATTACTCATTTGGCAGATAATAGCAGTGTCTTATGTACATATAAATAACTGGGAAATTTGTCTACTATTGTAATCAGTCTTACAGCCACTTTTATTTTTTTTTGAGAGAGAGCAAGCAAGCACGAGTGGGGAGGGGGAGAGACAGAATCTGAAGCAGGCTCCAAGCTGTCAGCACAGAGCTCAATGCGGGGCTTGAACCCACGAACCGTGAGATCATGACCTGAGCCGAAGTCGGACGCTTAAGCTACTGAGCCACCCAGGCGCCGCAAAGTCTTATTGCTACTTTTAAAAGTAGATACATGAGGAGTGAGAGGGGAAAAGGAGAGAGTCCGAAACAGAAAAACCTCCGCACGGGGGACAAAAACCTCCGTTAGAAAGACCGTACTTGCCAAATACCTGCACACCAGGTCCCCTCGCGCCAACTGGTCCTGGAGGGGGCTGAGCA